CCTTGAGGGGACCGGAGCCTGACCCAGTCAATGGCCCCATTGTCCCCCGGAACCCGCGAAACTCCGGTTGGTCCGCGGGGGCGGCAAAAAATTCGCGGATGATTTACTACATTTTTTTCAAAGGCAATATTTCGGCTACACTCTAAATTTGTCTCCAGATTCTCCGAAAATTCCGGGATAAATATCAATCATGCTGTGATTTCACCGAAACTTCAGAATATCTTATCATAAAAAAAATCAGAATTTTGTAGAATAATTACACATCGCATATTGTATTATGCGTGTCCATTTATACATCTCCCTTATATTAAAATAAAACCTATTAAATCCGGTATAAGATTTATACTCCTCTTCTGCTCGTCCCATTTGAAGAGCTCAATTAATTATCTTCTACAATAATACCTATTCACTACTGCTAATGAAGCAATTAATTGAAAGTAACTAGAATTATGCCCGGAATACTCTTGAAAAAATTGAAAAATTAGTTTTGCACCGATCGCCAGAATTAAACGGAGAAAATTATTTTTCTACAGTTATTCTATATAATTATTTGGCGACTTATTTAATTCCTTGCACCAACTAATTTTTTTCTGCCCACATCGCGCCTGCAGATCGAAAGATGTGCAGTCCATGAAACGTAATTTTTTGGTTTACCGGAAGAGCATCATATTTACCGAGGATTGCGATAAGACTCATTATCTCCGTAGATAGCCCTATACCACGGAATCCCCCATTTTCTCCCACTGTAGATTAGCCCGATGACCTTTTCTAATCTAGTAGCGAGCGACTGGACAGCCGATTCAAAAGTTTCGAGCGGCGCAGTTCGCGACAGCGCATGCAGCACAGATGCGCACGCATCTATCCGGCGTGTTTCCTCTCAGATTATTTGTTGGTGCCTCTTTTTCAATTCATTCCGCGTGCGACTGCTATCGCGTGGGCGAGTGAATCCATCCCCGGAGGATCTTCGGCGCCTCTTGAATTCATTATCCGAAGGACTTTCATCCTTCCAACGTAATTACATTTTACAATTGCAAAAGTATCGACTTCGTTTTACTGTGCGCGTTAAAAATTCAGTTTTTCGTGACTCGTGAACCGCCCGATATTACGAATTATTCTATTCAAAATCGTAATGTGTGATGATATCGCTGGATGCGGTTGTTTGTGCGGTGGATTTTAATTGCCTCATTTCGGTTCAATTGGGAAGATGCAAGGCAGTTCATTGGAGTTCGTAGAAACACGAGATATTGAGTTGAAACATACTCGTTAGTTGGAGCATCATTGCTACTTTTTCGTCAGTGGTTTTATTAGTCACGCCTGCAGGATGAGGATGAAAGAAGAGAGTCGATATGCCGAACGCAGTATGGCGTATTTTGGTAATTACTTGATTATTCATCATTTATCGAGCTGCGTTCACGCGAATTTTTCAATGGTCGGTGCAAAAATCGAATTTTTGGAGAAAAGAAATTCTCCAAATTTTTTTATTTACTGTGACATCATCCGATGCACTTCAATAATGAATCACACAATTTTTTTTTTGCAGTATCACAAAATAGTTGGACAACGACATTTTTGAAAAATCGATGTAATTAATTAATACGAATTCGTTTGATGTATTTATTCTCTAAATGAGTCGGTTTTTATTGAGGATTCAAATGGACTTGTGGGGAATCGTCTCGCTGAGTTAAATTCTGGAAAATTTTCTCCTGTGATTTATGTACTCGAGAAATACTTTCAGAGGGAAAAGCAATAGTAATTGTCTCTGGTAATGGCTGCAGCGGTTGGTAGATGAGGAATAAAATTCGCGATGAAAATTAATGAAATTTGTGTTCGAGAATTCGGAAAATTCTTCTGGTGACATGCGCGATCACTATCGGAATCATGCTGCTGACATGCGCAATCGGTTCACGCTATCCATCGGGTCTATTACGAAATTCATGTTTTAATTCTAACATAAAATTTTTAGGATTATCCGAGTGATTTTTATTTAATTTTCCATTTCTTCAGGTTTCCACGTCCGATACGTCAAATTTCTTCTAAAATATTTAGAAAATATTTTTGACAAACACTAATAGTTTACAATACATTACCTTTTTTTTCTTAAGTATACCTTTTACACTGATGGCTTCACACGTTGTATTTAATGACTTAAATAAATGCGAAAGATAATACGTCCGCCAACGTGTGTTAAAAGACAATACTGATTAATATTTATCAATTATTAACACGGAGCAGTCAATCGGGTGCGCTGGGAAAGGCGAAAAGTCGAGTCTCCATGAAATGTTGATAATTTTGACGTCAATGCATTGTCGATTTTATAATTCATGGGACGCGTCGATGTATCGTTTATAGGCATCACCCAATTCGCAGTAGCCAGTCGGAGGTTCAAACAATGGGTGGACAGTCCCTCATTGGGGATCTGGGGGGTCTTCCCATTTGATGAGCCGATGGAGAACCAGTCGAGGGCCTCAGGCTGAAGAAGTTCCACTGACAGAGCGTTTCCGAGATCACAAACGAAATTCACCAAAAAAATCAGCGGCCAAGTGATAAAGCGAGATATCTCAAACATTACCAATCTGTTTAACATCGATTTATCGAAAAACCCGTGACTTTATGAGGAAATATCAGAAGACCTTTTTTGTCGAAAATTTAATCATCTACAAAAAAGTCTCCTAACGTTTCCACTACAAATCAGTCGTTCTCGAAATAAATCGATAATTGGGAACAAGGCGTGAAGATATCTCACTTTACGACTTTGGTACTGAACTCTAGTGCTATTCATAAATTTCTGGGGATTTATGTGAAAATTTGATATCGAACACAGGGGAATATTTATATGTTGAAACTATTCGAAATATATCCTGAATTGGTTCGAATTATTGAAAAAAATATACAAAATCCGTAGCGAAGAGGTATAAGAAGATTATTCAACTTAGCACTTTGGTTTTTGGGAAATTTCTCCGAAACAAACAGAGATAATGAAATGTTTATCAGACCTTTTTCTGTAGATCTAACTGAGAGCTACAGATAAAGTCTTAACAAAAATTCCGTTATCTGCATTGATTTCGCAGATATTTTCTAAAAACTGACCAGAGAGCCATTCTCTGCCGCTTCGCCGCTGAAATATGTTTCCTGTATATATTTCATACACAATAATTATTATCCATAAAAATATCTCTTGTGATCACTGAAATTTTCAGACAAATCCAAAAAACATTTCGGTTTTTTATTGGATTTTATCCGTATTGAAAAAAAGTCGGACGAATCAGGCATTTCCACGTGATTAAGCAGGGGATTTTCCGGAGTTTATTAATGGAGTCTAATAATTTTTTATCTAAAAAATTAAATTACTATTGTGCATCCCCGCAATCTCGGAGACGACCGCAGTTCTTGGATTTATCCGGTGCACTGACATGTGAGTGACGTGATTTTTCCGTTCCACGAAAGAAACCCGGTTTTATCTGTATTTTCTCCCGGTAATTCAAATGATTCATCGGATCTCTCATTCAACGAAGAAAGTACAGAGTGTAAAAAAAACCCCATAGAACAAACTTTCAGTCACATAGCTGGAGTGATATCGGCACCGGGAGTGTCTCCTTTTTTTCCCTACTTGAAAAGTGACAACGGTGCTTTTGTTGAAAAGCAAAGGCTATCGATATCTCGGGCCCCTGTTGAATGTGCCAGACGAGATACGAATGTTTCACTGGATAAATGGAGTTACTCAGAGGAAAAGTGGGGATCAGTGAACGTTAGAAATTCCCCAAAATACGATTGCGCTCTTTTCAAACCCATACTGACACCCTGGGGCATTCGGAATGGGTAAATAAACGGTCATGGGGATTTCTATAACTGGAGTACGTGTCTGCTTTTCGAGGGTGTTAATCTCAAGGGGCATGTAACGGCCATTTCAATGACGAAATTATTTCCAAATGGAATCCATCTCCTAAATCAGCAGCCAACACCAAAGGGTAACAAATTAATTTAGCTAACAGGGAAGTGTACGAAGAATATTTAATATTTTTGAATACGAGAGAAATACGAATATTTTTGTAAGAACCTTTTTTGTAGTTTTCATTCCACTTTGCACATGAGATCTTACGTAAGATTCCGTTATTTCTCCCCGATTCGGAGATATTTGGCGAAAACTTACCTGTTAGGTGAATTACCTGTTCGTTGCTCAATTCGTTGGCTTGGAAAAAATTATGGTCTTTATTACAATATTGATTTAGCCATTGTTTCCTTGGCTGTGTCAAACCTTCCTGCCATCATGTTTGATTATTTAAATGAGTTTTCTCTGCCAGAACTCGTTTCAATAATGAGTTAAATGACCTACGTGTTTGCTTCTGAGGGTGTGGCATGTCCGTCTGGGGACTAAAGCCTCGTTTTAATCCGCCCTTCACGATGAATGGACAGACCTAGAAAAATGGTAATTGATCCCCTCGGAATATGAAAAAAATTTCACGAGAGAGAAAACAGAAATTAGTTAATTATTGCTTGAATTTATTTAGAAAATGAGTTTATTGTTTACTGGTTTGTTGATAGGAAAGATTTTGAAAGATAATATTTTTCATGCTATGGTGTTCAGTGCATTATTTATATTTATAAAATAAGATTCCTGCCTCCAAATAATTTCTAATCCCAATTAAGCTCTAATTATAATCATTACACCCATGGATATCTAATGAGGCATTCTTGGAAACAAGACGGCGGCAGAAATATGATATTAAGAGAGTGAATATTTCCCTCGAGTAAATGAACACTTTGTATTTATAATTTTTCGTCGCAGTGTAGAAAATGGAAATTACCTATCCATGAATGCAACGAGGAATTCAGGAATTCATGACTAAACAATAAATTCCAATTTCCATTAGAATTACTCTGGAATTCGTTGCCTCATTACGATAGCGTCACACACTGAAGACTCCTGATTAATAGTTTGATTAGATTAGGAGTTTTTAGGCGTAATTCTTTCTCAGTGCAAAATATGGAAATTGTGTTCACAGGTTCACGAATGCGAACAGGAATTGGTGCTCATAACGAGGCAACAAATGCCAATTTGATGGAGGACAGGGACGATGTGGTTTTCGTTTCCAGTAAAGACAGTGAAGCTTCAACGCTCTGGGTCAACTACCTCACAGCCTGCTTTGAACAGATCAGCAGACAGCAGGGGCGGCCGCCTTTCAAGTCAGTTTCATGTTACAAAATTTCTGGTATTACAACCATCTACCCTCCTCCATGCCTGTCGTGTTTTTATTATTCTCTCGCACCAAATGGTTTTTGTATTCGTCAAAAGTCCACCCTCTCTCTGATTGATTTCATCAGTTCATTTAGCTCTTTAGTACTCTTCATTTAGTACTATGCATTTGCTAATTAATATTCTCATCTGATTTTCTAATAATTCGATCATTTATAATGTTGGGTAAAAATCACCATCCGTCCCAAAATTTTAAAGAGTTATCATTTTTTAGAGTAATTTTTTAAATAAATTTCTTTTTGTGTGTAACTATTTTTTTATAAATCCGGTTCAACATTTGCGTAATATTTTGCCGGCAGTAAAAAAAATTGCGTTACCCTCGCTAACAGTTCCTGAAATAGCATTTATTTGTTAGATCGACTGTCAATACCGATCTCACCAAGTTTTTTCGTTACAATTAGGGTGAGACATGTAACCGTGGAAGACGCGGTATCAGTAACCCAGACTATGCAAGATCGCATAGCAAAATCGCGGCTGCAGATAATAGTTGTGTGTCCAGTGCTCCTGGATAGAGCGACAACGAAACCTGAACAGGCATCGGCCCTAGCTCGACAATTGTCCCCAGAACGAGTCCTGGCGATGATGTTGGGTGTCCACGACGGACAGCTCACTGAGAATCAAAAAAGTGCACTGATCACATATCCCCAGTGGCGAAAATTCTTCGTGAAGGATCAGGACGAGACATTCGTGGGGGAATTTTTGGGGGCGGCTGTGGCTATTCTAGGATCGAGTCCTCCAGCAACCCTGAAGAACGATAAGACAACGTTCTCTGTTCACCCCAAGAAGGTGAAAATCGGACAGAATCGCGTTCTCGTCATCATGAACGAACCCCTCAGGGACGAGGACACCGTCAGTGTCATCATTGACAGGTGTGGAGAGGGCATCGACTTGACTCAAGTCAAACGCAGGAATCCGTACACTCTGCAATTGGCGGTACCTGACAGGTGCCTTCAGGTTTCCATGCTCATAGGTGTCAGGGTCATTGTCAATGGGGTGCCCCAGGGGGTGAGACAGGTCAAGTGCGAGAGTCGGTTGAGGGAACTCGATCAAATACTTCGGGCTCATGACAATCCCCTCGAGTTCATGTGCCAGGTGAGTCAATTCTCTACAGTTAAAAAAAAAATTTCATCTTAACATTATTTTACTGACATTTTATGGATTTTTTATAATTCTTTTCGGTGTTCTCCTTTAAAGCGCGGAATAATCCAAATTTTATTCTTCATTTTGAACTTTTAGGAGAGATTTATAAAATGATTAAAAAATTCTAACTTTTAATTCTATTCCAATTTATGTAAACTATTGTCTCTGTCCCTCACAAATTATTTATACATAATCAATTTGCTCCTCATGTTGAGGAAAGTTATAATAAATTGACCAGAATATTCAATATTTTAAAGTATTCAAATTTTGATTTGGTTATTGAAAATCAGGCGGCAAATCAAAAGGCAGAATTTATAATGTCGTCTGTGGCGAACTGTAAAAGGTAGTTGAATCCTCTTTGATTGAATTTTTTTTCTACCGTGAAAGCTGATGCTGGTCTCCATTCATCGAAGGAAATTACGCTTCATGCTCTATTAATTGTGAAGAGCGTAATTGAATTTCTGCTCCATCCATCTCTCAATTGAAATTCTTCAATAACAATTGTGAGATCGTTGAGAATTCAAATTGGCTCGATGCGTTATTTTATTTCGAATGAAAACAGTGAAGTCGAAAAATTGTGAACAAGGTATTCGTTGTTTATTCTTTAGACATTTGGATTCAATCCTGGAGATCGTGATCAGTTGGATAATTGGATGGTCCATGCCTTCCAAAGGAATTTACCGCCACGTTTTGATCTTTTGGCTACACCCAACGGAGCAACGCCTTTACAGCGAAATGCAACGAGTGAGTTTAATTAAATTTCCTCGTTATTAATAATTCATTTCCTGATAGCAATCGATTCGCGAAAACAAGAATCCTACGAAATTCAATGTACAGGAAAAATCTCTTCTTATTTATAATCAAATAAATTAAATAGAGTAAAGGACAATAAATCGAGGGAACAGCTTTTCTCAACTATTGATTTATCTCAAAAAATATCGATTCAACATAAAATCGTGAAAATACATTTTTGTAGGTGATTATATTTAGAACATAAAAAATCTTTTCATATTTCTTCCTACAAGGAGTGGTTTTAGAGTAATCTGCAATTAACAAAACTTCCGATTTTAATGATTTCGATTCTTCTAGTGTTCCAATTTGGCTATTCCTTTAAACAAGAAAATGAAATAAAAATTAAAGAATTTTGAAATTTTATACATTACACCATCTGCATTGCACTCTCTCCTTATCAGAAATAAATAATTAATCCGCAGGCCCTGAGGAGTACCCCACTCTCCTCCACTTCGCAGCTCGTTTCGGATTGGAGAAATTAGCTTGGCAATTATTGGAGTGTCCCGGTGGTGAGATCGCTTGTGATCTCAAGAATGTTGCCGAGCTAACTCCAGCCGATGTTGCTGAGCAAGCGGGTCATAATAAGCTGGCACAGCAACTCCGTGGCTACATGGTAAATATCACATATCCCCTGCAATTCGCGAACTCCTCGTCACCAACTAATATTGATTTTCCCTTTGATCAGCAAATGAATGAATTCACGAACATGTACAGCTACCTAAAGGTCATCAGCGAAAACGCAGGATCCGGAGCAAGTGAGTGAAAAATCTCCATTTTGCTACCAAAATTTATAAATAACATTATGTTTATTGAAAAATTCCACTACCTGAACAAATTAAAAATAAAAAAAAAATATTTCTGGAAATATAATTAGAAATGATAATTTTTTTATTATTAACAATAATAATCATGATAATAATAGTAACAATAATAATTATTATTACACTGAATATTAGGGAGTATTAGCTTATCAATTACTCATCCATGATTGATCATTTTTTTCAATACATTGATGGAAAAATTGCTATAAACCTCGTACTTCTTCCTTTAGATAACGAAAGTGCCTCCCCACTGACCCACTTGAACTGCTTAGACACAGAACATGATAAGGAAGACTACTGTCGTCCTCGACCATTGAGTGAGGCATACCTGGTGCCCCCGGCTGCTCGCCCGGTCACAACAGCCCCCCAACTACTACCCCTCAACACGATCTCCCACACACCCACTGAGATGAATTATTCAATTGTCCCACCGCCTACACCAGTCCTAGGAGTACCTCCCACCAATCTCAGTAATTCGGACGTCAATGGATTGAATCTACCCCTCCAAGGATACCTCAAGATGTACCCAGCCAGTAAGAATCAATTGCACCCACATTACTTCCAGGATAAATTATAGTCTTCAAAATTTGTTGTCCAATTTTTCAATTTTCATACTCCCGATATATTTATTATTTCAATTTCCTTACAATTTCACTCCTGAATTTGCCTCCGCTTTTGAGCTCAAAGAGAATTTCTCCAGACGTTTCTTTTCTCCTTCGAAGCGTCAAAAAATAAAAGTGGATATTTGAAAGGTCCAAAGGTATCTCCGTCGTTGCCAGCACCAGTGACGGCACCCCTGCTAGCACTGAGATCTCCCAACCACCCACAGCAATCAAAAAAAGACCTGAAGGAGGATACTCCAGGCTCTCGAACCGGAAGTTTACATCGCTCCACTTCAAACCACGGCGTCAAGTCCCGTGAGCCGTCGGGGCCCCAAGACGAGCTGCTGGAGATCATCAACGACTTCAAAAATAATGTATTTACCATCTCCGAAGTTGAGAGACTCGTGGAAAACTGGAGAAATCGCAACGACGTGCAGCAGAGCTTCAAGGATAAACAGCGGCAGTTGGCGGCAATGAGGGACGAGTATGATCGGATCCAAAAGAAATTGAAAGACGAGATGAAGGCCCCAACGCCTTTCGACAAGATTAAAAAATTCTTCTCAAAGGGGAAGAAAGAGTCCAAAGAGAGCAATCATGCAGATGACGATGGGGCGTCTACTTCGAGTAAAAATGAGAAAAGCAGTGAAACTGGGGCTGAGAGAAGACCAATCAGTAGTTTGAGTCTTCACAGTGTCTCCAGTATGTATTAATTATCATACAATTAACCGTTTCATCAATTTTTTCACAATTAATTTGTTTAGTCATTGAATTTCATTTCTTTCTCTCAATGATATAATGAAATAATAAACCGATCGTGTGACAGTAGTCGCAATCGTGTTAAGTTGCCCTACTGCTGGATTTATCAAGAAGTTGAGTTCGTTTATGGAATTTATTATTTCAATTCTCAAGGTTCCTCATCATCTGGACGAATGAGCATCATCAGCGGGTGTTCTGGAACGAGTTTAGGGGACTCTGGAACGCATTCGGACACTGAGGACCGCAGGGTGAGTGTGTGATAAAATTTTTCTACCTACAGTACCTTAGTACTACCTGAGGATTTCTATGGATTGAATTCATCATTTTAATTGTAACAATCATAAGCATTTTTAATTGTAAAATTCTTTGATTAATTGAAGGGATTGTCAGTTCTTAGATATTCACAATTTATTTATTAATTACTGATAATCTTTCAGCTTCGCAATTCTCGGGAAGATAAAGGTGGTATAATGACGTACGAAGTTCCCCCAGCCCCGAAACCCTTCACCGGGAGATACTCACCCATGCGTTACACTCCATCGCCGCGATCATCCGGTGTACACCCTGAAACCGAGAGCAGAAAGCCACATCCACAGAATGGAAGCTCCAGTGATGAGTATTACATTGCATTTCCGGTATCAGGACTTCCAGTTCATTGTGAGTTTTTTTTTCAGTCCTTCTTTTTAATCCATATTACGCCAATTACATTCAAATTGCATCAATCTCTCAATTACAGCATTTAATCCTGATGGCACCCCCATAGAGCCAAAAACCCCATGTTCCCCCTGCGACGCTCCACTGTTCCAGATCTCGAACAACATCCCCGAGGAAGACAATCATTCCGATGCCCCCGAAAAGACTGAAATCAAAGAAATCAATTCACTTCCTCAAGCTCCTCCACCCCCGCCCTCCTCACCGCCCACCCACCTCTCCTTGGACTACATCAATATTGTCCCAGCGAATATTCCCTCGAGTGTCCTCCAGACACCGGTCAATGAGAGTCTGCAGGAGAACAATGAGAGAATTGAGGTATCCTTGAACGTAACAAAAATCTTGAATGAGGAACCGGTCAAGGCTCTCGATGGCGAGACGAAGATTATCAACGAGACAACGAAGGAGGAGGTCCCAGTGATCTTTACACAATCAGATCACGTCCGGCGTGATGGGGAGCCCAAACTCCCGGAATACATGAATATTTCACCTGGTGGAGATCAGGAGCCTAGGGTTATTGGAACTATACCGAAAAAACCCACTGCACCACCTGTGCCTCCCAGAGGTGAGAATTATTATTGTCCGTGAACGCCCTGGATTTTTTATGTGCAGATATTTTAAATCCATGGGAAAATCCACTAGAAGAAACATATATTACATAACTAAATAAAAAAATTGAAAAATTTAATATCGGAGATGTGGATGACTTGTTCTTCAGTCAAGTTGCCCGGGAATTTAAGGGAGATAATAAAATTTTTTACAAGGCATCATTTGTACAGGGGAATGAGGGGTTTAAAAAAGTTTTCACAAAAGTTTTGCTACCTACTTTAGATTCAGAGATTTGGTACCATTCAGTGGAATGGCTAGAGAGTTTCAAGGGAAATGTAATCGAATGTATTCCAAATTCTAGGACTTGGTGAGATTCTTAAAATTTTATTTTTAATAACGGAATATTTGATATTTCCCGCAAAGTTAAATTTTAAAACTCATGAGGATCGGGCATTCGAGTCGATTGGTTTCTGATAATCTAATTTCGTACTTATTTAAGACGTCAATTAATTAAATCTTTCTACGGTGGATTGCATTTGATGTTGATAAATTTTTTGTCGTTTTTCCAGCCCAGGTGCGAAAATAAAAACGTGAAGAGCAACAGAAAAAAAACGAAATCTCAATATACCAAATATATAAAGCAACGAATAACCCAAATGAATTGTTTTACGACGAATTATTGTAAAATACGTGTATTTTTAATGAATTAATCGAATTGTTTATACGTCCAGCAAAATCGATGTAAAATTGAATATTTTTGTGAAGGTGTCTTGTGTTATCGTAAGAGACAGAAAAATTCTGCATTCATCCTGAGCATGCTCTCTTAACGAGTATTCTATTTGTACTAATCATGGAATAAGTTGTAACGAATAGAGAAATAAATTTTTTATGAATTCTGATGCTCATCTTCTTTTCTTTTTACATTGTGCAAGAAGAAGCCGCGTAACTGAATTTTCATTCTGTAAAAATAAAGTTATAAATCTGAGTTTTATCAAGTGCCCATCGAAGTGGAGAGATCCACTCAATTTATAATTCATTTAATTTATAGTTATTATTCGGAAGTTACGGACCTTGACCGGCATTGAGTAAAACGTGAAGGTTTCCATGGTTAAAAACCCATAAAAAATAAAGCTCCACGAAAAAATGAATGAAAAATCTTTGAATTGCTGGTGGAAATATCCTATATATCTCAGGCCGATTGGATACTTCTTAAAATAATTTGAAATTCATTACATAATTATTTTCTGAATTTTTTATACTTCTAATCAGAATTACAAATAAAATATAAATCAATCTTCCACTGATTTTTTATTTTATTCAACTTAATTCTCCCTACAAATGAAGAATTTATTCATTGATTAATGGGAGATCGACGCATAATTTTTATTAATGAATAAACTCCGGAATTCATAGTAAATAAAATAATCGAGAAATTGACGATTTTTTCGGTAATTATTCAGTAGTCTTCATTGACAAGAAAAAAAATCGTTATTTTCATTGACGAATTTGTTGAAGAATAGATTATATTTTTATGAAAATTAACAGATTCTTCAATAAAAAGAGATTCAGGTTGAGGTAGAAGGATTTGTTCTGGGAATAAGCAATCGTTTATTTATTGCTGGGTAACCATTCGTCATGGAGGATCCGTGATTATTTACATATGTAAATGAGTATTTTCATCTTCGAGATTCCTCGGACTTTAGAGTCTAGCAAGCATGAGTGAATAGAACGTGGAAAACTAAACTAAACTAATCCCACAGAAAACCGAACTTCCCACAGTATCGCGATAAAATTCGGCTAATTAATATGTCAATTAGCTGAGAACTGCGGTTTTCTGCTTCCCTTTTCGTTCCGACTGAATATCACGACTAATTACAATTAATCGACAATTGGAGGGGACATCTGGGTATAAGAGGAGTGACGACGATGAATCTAGCATGTGACACGCGCAAGTTGCTCTGAAAGGTCGTCAATACGAAATAATGAAGAGAATAATTGGAATAATTGGAATCGCGGTGGTGATTGTGGGAATTGTGGGCGCACAGAATCCGAAATTGTCTGGACAGAAACCGGGAGCTTGTCCACCGGAACAGCCCGTGAATATTTGCGGAAGATCCTGTCATTCTGATGCCCATTGCGAAAAAGAGGGGAAATGCTGTCCTACCACTTGTGGCGGAAATATTTGCACTGCTCCAGTAACACAAGGACCCCCTCCGATCGGTAAGAATCATTTTTTGCACAGACTATTCAATATTTTTGTCTGAATTTTTAAGCCGGAGTATTCGATTTCTTTTTCAAATTGTCATCTGCTACCTTTACTTTTCTACTTTCCGCCATATATTTCTGCCATTAAAGAAATTTAGAAAATTTTTTTTTCTAGTTTAACTTCTTATAATTAGGAATTTTTATAATTGCTAATTCAATTTTTTCATTGTTTTCTTCTTCGAATGAGAATACTGACTACTTGATTTTTTATTAGCGTAATTTTTCTGGGCTAAAAAAAATGCTAAAAAATCGGGGAAACTGGAAATAAGTTCAAAATAGAATTTGAAGATTTTATTTTCTAAATCACAAGTAAACTATCCGAACTTCCAATATTTTTCTAACAGTGCTGTAGCGTGTTGATAATAAATCGGTTATCAGTCAGTTGCACGCTCTAATAAAAAAATAACCCGATAGCACAGTACGGTACCCGACAATTGATAACTGGCATGACCCAAACAATAAAAAATATACTAAGCTCGGAATTTACTTAAGTTCGTGCTTAAGTTATCACGTAATTTAAATTTCCTCCAATAGGGACAAGGAAAAATGATGACGAGATTAATAAATTAAATTTTAGTGAAACCAGGATCATGTCCTGAGACGCCAACAGGCCGGTGGATCTGCACTCCTACCTGTACTACCGATGGCGATTGTCGTGCTGCAAAAAAATGCTGCAGGAATCGATGTGGAGTCCTTGCCTGCCAGAAACCGGATGCAGAGATTACGGAACCTGTTGACATGGCTTATCAACCGGAACCGAAAATCCCTGATGACGGCAACTCCGGTGATTTTAACCCGAACAATCCATTCTTGTTCAGCAGTAACTAATAATGTGTTCAAATAACAAATAAAGTGAGATAATTAGCCAATTTTAGGAGACTCTCATTATCATGGAGCGCAATTTAGCGGCAAAATCATGGAATTCTTGTGAAAATTTATCGATTTCACACAGGAATTTAATAAGTTGCAGAGTTTCAAGGTTTTTCATATAAAAACGATAATTACATAAAAACATATCGAATTAGAATTATTTCATTTTATATTTACTGCGGAAGTTGGGGAAATTTTAGGGAGCTAATGAGATCATGAAGATTTCCAAGAAGCGCAGCAGAAATTATAGGCAAGTATTTTCAACAGTGAATGCCATAACTGTGATTCAGATTTTGTAAATGCTGATTCTAAAAATAAAAATCCTTACTGATCGTCGTACGTTGTGCATAATTGATGGATTGGTGACTTTTTATGATTTAAATATGGAATGAACCGAAGACGTTTTGTCAGTTGTAATTGACAATCTCGTTATCGGTTTTATGGTGCACCTCGTAATTACTGTTGTTCATTACCCGTGTTTTACGAACTGTTGCGCAATATAATATTATACTATATATAAATATATACAATATAACATTAAAATGTTCGAAATTGAGTTCCGCCACTTTACGCCCTTTTTTCACCCGAATTTTTTCTCCTGAAAATTCAATATCTTGAAGGAAAAGTTATTATGCATTGAATGATTCATCTCAGGGGAATGTTTCCTGTTGATGCAGATAAGATAATCGGTGGAACTGACCTCCAAAGAAAATTTTTAACACTGGTCAAGTGCAATGAGTACTGCAACGCGTGACTCATATGGATACACCAACACCCAGAAAAAAATAATACACCTGCTACATGTTTTTTTTAAAGATTATGACGCATTTATTCCCGCGTATTGCGTGTGGTTCGAGATTATATTTTTAATAGGAAGAAGAAATAGTATTGCATTTAGGTTTTAATACTATATTGTGGCGTGCCAAGGCTGCAACTGTGACCTCTCTTCATTTTCCTTGTGCGGAGAATCTGAAAATATTCAGAAGAAACATACTTGGGGTATTCTCGGGTGAGAGAATCCGTGTCAAATACAAAAGAGACTCCGGAGACTCAACATCTTGTGGGACACTGACATGGGCGGTAACTATTTTCCTCCACGTTTTAATTTTTAATTTTTTATTATGTGCAGCGTTTACAAGTTTTTGTATTTTCAGGGAAAATTCTGTTACTCGTTTGCATTGTGATGGCTGTTGGGGTCATCCAAGCTCAATTGTCACGTACGTTGATATTTTAATTACTCCTCTCTTTTATATTAATTAATTATTAATTTGTAAAATTCAGTTTGGAATCTTTCGCGGCCATAAATATTATTATAGTTAGCATTGGGATGGATAACGCGTTCAGTTACAGCGTTTTACTGACGTTTTCGCAAATGCCAAGAGGATAGTCAGGATAATCATTTTTCCGAATGGATTTTTTTAATGAAACTTTTCAAGAATATTCACTTGGTATGTTCAGATAAAGGAGGCAACTGTCCCTTGAGGAATACAGTATCCCGCTGCCAACCAAATTGTGTAAGCGACCACCAGTGCCCATCCAATGAGAAATGTTGTTCCAACAAATGTGGGTCTATGTCCTGTGCTGGACCTAGTGCGGTAAACACGGGCTCTGACGGCGGCTACAAAAACTCTGGTCGAGGTAATTTCTTAACGGTATTTCAACACCATCCACTGCACTTTACCTACCGCACACGGAAAATTGTTGTGATAAAAAATGCAATGAGTCCTCAAAAAATTCTTAACTTAGACTTAAAAATTACTTAGAAGCCAATACGCTATCGGATTACTAATTAATATTCAATTTGACTATAACTTTTCTCCCTGTGGCCCGTTGTTTTTTAGATACTGGAGTTTTTTGCGGTGGTATCAAGTGCAGTCCCTACGAGAAATGCGAGATGGATAGGACAACAAAACGTGAGAGATGCGTTCGTACATGAGGCACAGATAATTTGACCATTTTTCCGTTTATCAATCGTCAATCGAATAGCCATTATATAATCAATACCTGGTCTGTTATATTTTGCATGGAAAATAAACTAGGAATATTTTAAACTTTTCTCGTCATTTCCTTATACGATACCCAACACTCGCTATAATTATAAAAATTATGATGGAAAATCGGAAAATTAAATAATTCTGCAAGTGATTCTCTAAGACGAAAAAACGTAAAAAAATACTCTCAAAAATTCGTTCTGCTTTTTAATCGTTATTTTCACTTGTTCTCACGGTATTTTTGGCGCCTCTTGAACGTCACCTAAAATATTTGGTTATTATGAATATTATGGAATTAAAGCCGAGACTTTCACGAGAAGACACACCAGATGTTCTATCACTTAAAGAAATGTTCGAAGGTATTCTCATTTTTTCCACGTTTAAAGATCATTTCCCCTAGATTTTTCGTATTTGAACGATTCTTAATGAAGAATGAATGACGAAGGGGAACAACAAGAATTGTATTGAACTGGGGATAATGATGATTTAATTAATGAAAATATTAATGATTTTTTGCACGAACCGACGCTTGATTGTGGTAATAAAATCCTCAGAGTCGAGGAAAATATAAAAATGAAATTGTCGTGCGTTTGTGATAATCCATTCAGTGTAATTCATTTTTCCGTTCTGAGAGTTCTACTAGTATTTACGCCATGAATATATGTATAATCTACCATTGATTAATGAAAATTTTGATAGACGGAAAAAATTTCCTTCCATTGATTGATTTATTCCTGAATTCCACCGAATTAAAGATTTCAAGGAAATACCTCAAATCGCCCCTTGTTCTTCATTCAATCCACTGTGACCCCAAAATTTTCCCTCCAGCTTATTGTCATTTGGACCCCGTTTCTGACGCAATGGGTGTCAAACATCTGCCCTTCTCCCAACTGAGTATCTGGCTTGAATCAGCAAAAATAATCGACATGAATCGAGTGACGAAGACCGATGCTTATGTTTGTTTTTTCAAATTCGAGAAGCGTGCAATAAATTACGAGGAATTCCTTTTATACCTTGAGGATTTGGCGAAGGAAAGGCACGTGGACCTCAAGGAGATGAAGCAGAAGTTGAAATCTTGTGGAAAACCAAAAGGGAAGGATCACTTGCCAAAACGCGAAACTTCCAACAAAATTTGAATCAAAATTCTATGGTGTATTGAATCACTAGTTTTGATTTCAGAAATCTTTACATAAATTTAATACGGCATTCTCAATTTCAACATTGTTTATATACACTGGACTCTGTGAACTCCCGAACAATCCTTCATCGAATCCATGCAGAATGAAATGTACACGCGTCTTTTACACATGAAACTCAAAAACTTCTTTATAACTAACCCTTTCCTGTAAAACTAATACCATAAATGAAACTAACTAAATAACAATCAGTAAAATATTCTTTGAACAAAAATGAAGAGACGTGGATTATCAATGAATAAATTTAATAAAATACTCCTACAAATATCTCAGAAACACAAAAAATAATCTTTTCCATTTTCCATGTTTTCACTGATTTTTTTTCCTTTGCATTTTTACCTTTGGTTGTGCGTATCCAGTTTTAATTTGAAGCACGAGGTCTCCCGGATTTTTCTGTGTTTCTGAGAGTATCAAAAATATAATTGGAAATCATTCCTTTCGCCTTTTAATCCAGAATCCCATGCCAATGAAATTCCCTCAAATTTTCCTATTTTTCTTCTACATGATCTAGTCGGTAATTTTGACAGTTTCTTCGCGCCACGTTCAGAAGATTTTTCCACGGACTATGAATTTACTAAGTTATTTCTTCAAGCAGGTAAACTCTTTCTACATAATCGAGCTCGATGCATTCCTGTGAATCCACCTGAAGCCATCGCGCACGTTCTGGAGACTAACTCTGGCCAAAAAGCTGGCGATTAGTTGATACTCTGGCATTGTACGTCTCCCACAGGATCGGGTGGATAAATTTCTCTTGTAGCTCTTAAAATTTGGTTTCTTTTGCTCGGTCTCTGGAGCCTCGTCCGGCCAGATTAAGTTTATGTCACGACCCTCACAGAGAACTTTAGTTGTAAGGCAGAGCAACCATTGAATTATCTATTGACAATAATTAAGAAATTCACTGAAATCGATTTCACATGGGGATAAAATCAAGGAAATTTTAGCACCGAAAAAATTATAATTGATCGACTATAACAATTTCTAAATTTTCTCAAATAATTCTAAATATGGATCTGACACTCACCTCGTTGCTCAATGGCAAATTGCTATATTTATGAAGCCAGGAACTCGGGGCCCACAAGTACAATTGCATAATCGTTGCTGCCATCTCAACACTGATGCGCTGAAAACCGATCATAAGAAATAAATACTCTGTTATGTTACGCCTTTTGAATCTGAAAAATTTTAGCTACATCAAATATTCCCAATAATAACTTAAATGATGGATTTTTCCTACGTATAGACCTACCTTGTGAATATTCCTACTGAGCATGGCCTTAATTAGTTCCCTGATAACACCAGGAACGTCTTCCCCTATTTCAGGCAGTTGTTCATCTCCATAATCAAAATTATTAAGCACAGCCTTCTGTCCTTGTCCCCCGTAAAACGGATTTTTCTCTCCAAACAATTCATAAGCAATGGTTCCCACAGTCCAGAGATCAGCCTTAGTGTAATTAATGCTGGTGAAGGGTCCAGGCTCAGCAGTGATGACCTCAGGTGCCATCAGTGCAGAGTTGCCACCCCTGTCGACGTCGTGAGAGTTATACGGAAGGTACAATCCATGATTTTTGTCAGCCAGGCAGCAGCCAAAATCAGTAATAACGAGCGAAGGGCAGTTGGCCTCTTCAGAGGTGTCCAGCAGGATATTGTCTGTCTTGAGATCCCTGTGGGCTATCCCATGGGCATTCATATGGGCAACCGCCTCCAGAAGTTGAGCCAATAGTAGAATCGACTCCCGGATGTTCATCTCATTTTGTTCCCTCTTGGTGGTCAGGTATTGCTTCAGGGTCACGTCGTATCGTTTCATCAACAAGAAGAGACTCATGTTCCTGCCAGAGCCCTCGGGATTCAAACGAGCTGGAAGAGCATCTGGGTACATTCTTCTGGACCCTGGGAGCAGTGGAACTCGATCAGCAAAAACGTAGTACATGGCGACGATGTTGGGGTGAGACGGTAATGTTCTCTTGTTTTTTGCCATCCTCTGCTCCCAGACAGCAACCTCGTCGTTGACGTGGTACCTGCACGGTTGGCAACTCATATTATAACGTGAAAGAAATAGGACAAGTGCAGAATAAATCCAGAATAAATTTTGATTGAATTAATTTAACGCCTTGACTTTTGAACGTAAAAATAAAAAAATATCTTTGGATACCTGCGAGCTGGCACTGTCTCCCTGTACATGGCTCGAAGAATTGTGAGTGCGTTAGATTCTGCATCATAATTGAACATCATCTTCAGGGCGTAGGGAAAGAGCGATGGGTTCGTCGATATCCTATCGATCGTGGGCTCGTCTGGCGAGGTCTCTAGGGTGTCTTCTTTGAATTTCGCCGCATAGACCACTGCTGAACACCCTTTGGCGATCGCTGGACCGATGACGAAATTCTTCAGGCTTGGGGACTCCTCGGTCTGCGAGGTTGATTCGTAGTTTCGGTCGTTCTGGGGCTTCGTCCATTGGAGCTTCGATACTGCCTCCTGAAGATGCATTTCAAGACATTTAAATGGAAATTCCTCCATAAAAAGATGACAATATGAAATTGCAAGGAAGGAGTACTAATTTCCTGTTTATTACTTAAAAAGAACGATTGAATCTCTGTAAAATTTACGTAAAGTCAGAATTTAACTAGAAATAACTCTCTATTCGAATCATCAGCATTTTCTGCCATTGAATTCATAAAATTCTAATCACCCTGATTTCCCAGCACACGCCCTCGAGTTCATCGTCTTTCGTCAAGATACCGGTGCCAGAGGCTAGTGATACCCCAACGAGTGCGAAAAAAGGAGCTGAATCGCCGTAAAGCAGACGACGAGCGGCTCGTCTCCTTAGATCCGCTGCGAGACTGTTAGTGACTCTCTTTAAGATATTATCGACAAACAGCCGACGAGCTTGAGCTCCAAGGTACCCAAGGTGTGTGCTGGATGCTGCAACAGTGCTGCTGCCACCCTGAGGCAGCGGACCCAGGGATTTACCTACGCGGTAATCAGAAATTTCTCGTCAATCCATCGAACTACACTGAGCAAAATATTATTTCTTCCAATTAAATAGGCTATTACCAAACAAGCTTGAGATAATAATTTACGAAAAGATTGGCATGAGAATCGAACGAGACGAGAGTTGGAAATCTTTTGAGTAATTTATGACATGAGATATATCAAAAAGCTACAAATAAAATGCGATTCTCCGGTAAAATTGTAGTAAAATCAAAGACTTTGATTGTCTCAATGTTTCTCAGGGAGAAATATTTTTTTCCCACAAAGTTCTCCCTCGTTTTCGAGAATTCGATGATCTCTCGAGACTAATAATTGCACTCAGATTTGAGGCTAATAAGCGTAGACATACTCACCTACTTGCACAACGTGTATCTTGTCGAATTGACCTCTCGTACAGGTTGAATAGTGCTCGTTATTACGAAGCGAGCGGAGGATAATTTTACCATTTTGGACAATCCGCTGGGCGACTGTCCTAATAGACATCTCTGTGGAATCTTGAGCGGCGAGTGCCCAACGGGCAAGCCCAATTTCCCAAAACAGTCCCTTAATCACGATTTATGGTATTTTTTCCCCCCGTAGAAAGACAGGTACAATTTCACATAGTGCAACACCCACAACTGCGCATCTCACGTCTATTCGTTGCAGCTGGTTTTTTACCCCCGCTGACCCCGTGACAATTTTCCTACGTCAAATCAATCGCGGAGGTTATATTTATTCGCGAATCCTACATTATCGACGATTTTGGTGAGTCACTGTAGTTCATACTCCGCCGGTACAGAGTTTAAAAAAATCAGGGGCTCCCTACGTGATCAGTAAACTTTTGCAAAAATTCGCATGACTATGGAAATTGGTGAGTCAATGAATAATGATGAAATCTAAAATTCCATCCATTTACAACATCCGATTGAAAATTCAGGCGAATAATTTCCTTTTTTAATTACTCCATCCCGTAGTCCTTTCATTCCAGAAATCCAATAGTTAATCCTGAATCCAGAGTAATTAGGCCTGAAAGGATACTGCGGGGCTTATTCTTGAAGCGCGGTAAGTGCATGAATTGAATTGCACAGAGCAAAAGTGCACTCTAATAATTGTTGTGGTATGTTTCCTAAAAGGTTACTCTCGTTTTACGAGTATTTTCAGCGAATAAAGTGATATTCGGTAGAACTGCCAAGAGCACACATGATTAAATAAACAGCATGGCAAATACAGACGGGGAATCGCTGAATATTCAAAAATATGAAAGGCAGTTTACTTTTTTAGATTTTTCACGATGAAAAACCGAAATAGTTTTCGATCAAGCCAAGCCGAACTGCAATGTGGCATTATCATTATGGAATGGCACTCATACTAGAATTATATTTCACTTTGAGATTTCTCTCGTGGAACGACGTGTGATTGGCATTTCGTGTACGCGCATATCCGTGAGGATGAAAGGATTTCAATAATTTTTTACCCATTCTCAAATCACGCGCATTTCAATCCATTAAACCATTAATTCCTGTGGGATTTAGATTTGATGAGAGGGTTGATCCGCCCCTTCAATATTGAAGATAAAACAGCAAACCCATAAAGGATATTGGAAATATTTCCCTAAATCACTTGGAGCCAAAGCAGAAACATTTTCAATTCTTCAATTAGTGAAAAGATTCTCATAAAAATTAATCGAACGATAAAAGTGTTGCCTAGAAACGGGGTGAGACGATCATTTGAAGTTCTCCGGAAGAACAATGGGATTGTGTATCGGTTTCTTCGTTTCAATCTAGTCTCATGTTGAATCCGATTCTATTTGTCTGGTCTCGATAACGCGTCGGTCTCGTGTACAACTTCAACGAGGATTAATCGATTTTTCGTGGGAGGGAAAGTGCTTTCTTCTCTGTGCCATTATTTATTAAACATTAATTCTCCCATGTGAACTCTCATGATAACCCTCGTATGTAGTTGAAACCGTTATGAGGGCTTCTATCAATATAGATACGAGCGTTTCGAATAATGAGAAATAAAATTCATTTATTGAAGATGCATCTCCGTTGGTTATCTCAATTCCCCTCCATGGATACACCTTCCATGTTGGATCTGAAAGTAGAGATTATTCAAATCTCCGGAGAGAATCCCTATCTATTTTTGCAGAAGTTTCAGAATTGATAAACTTAATTCAATATCAATTTTTCATCTTATGAGATCAATTCCCCGCGGTACGTATTTTCAATGAGTTCAAATCCTTGTGCCACCAAAAGCACTTGCAATAAAGATGACAACATTAATCATCACTACAAGTTGTTTATTTAATTGTGAATAGTTATATCCAGTCAGCTGTAATAAGCATCCAATTGCATGTCGTGCAATAGCCGATAAAAATGCAGTCAAAATTACGGAATTTACATGATGGAATGGAAATTTAATCGGTATAGTAATTTTTCGCGGAAAGTTCAGATATAAGTGAGAGAATTCCAAAAATCCATAACAGTTCCGTAAAATATTCCTTAACCATATTTCGCTCTCAGGATTACGGGAAAGGTACGTGATTTTTATTGAATATTCGTCTGACCACCCCTCATACCCGTATTTCTCCATAACTTTCTTGATTGTATCACTCCTTCATAGACGTGAGCTATAAAATTTTACGACAGGCCAACAAATACGAGCGATTTTATCGCCGAAGAAAAGATGGATTTTGAATTACAAAGACAAAACTTATTTATATCTTTCAAGTTGCGCTTTGAATTGCTGTCGCCACTTCGGAAACTATTCCCATAATTCTCCATAATTCCCTGATCATGTACACAAATGGCGGAGAGCACTGAAAACTGCGTTGAAATTTAATTTTCCATTATGCCTACATGAAAGCAATTTCTCCAACTTTTTCCGGGAGCGAAAATGACTTTTCCACGCAAAGTTTTCCACCCCTCATTACCTTTTAAACCTTTAAAAAATAAAAAAATGAAGTGAAATGAGAAAACAACGAAAATGATAAATGCCACTGGAGTTCTGTAAATCCTGCAGATGGAAATGAAAGGCACAATTTGTGATACTTTGGAGTATTATTTATTATCATTCGCGTGCAGAATTTTGAGCACTCCTCGGAGCTGAATAATGGTTCCCCTTTGACTTTATTCGGCTTCTGGGAGTTGATACTTGTTTCAGAATACTTTCGATCCATTTATGGTCCCTTTCGTTTATCTCTGTCGTCGTGTTTTCCACTTTGGCTTCTCCTATCGCTCTAGTATCACAGAACATTATTGTTTCTCGAGTCAATTGCATTTCTACTCGGTACTTTTTTGTTTGAGGACTCGAAAATTGAAAATGCTCGAAAATATCGAAAGGGAAACAGTAATAATAATTAGAGGAAAATAGTAATAAAAATTTACTCAAATTGTTGAGTTGTCAAGGAAGATGTAAGAAAAATTGGAAAATTCGATATATTATTGAAGAGCATATCAATTCTCCAATTTTTCTCCATTTTCGGTTTGTACTAAAAATAATGGAGTTGTCGATATTTGAATTACACATTTTCACAAAGAAAATAAAAAAAACTGTTCAACTTTCACAAAAAAACAATTCTCTGAGGATTAATACGTAATAAAAAAAACTAAATTATCATTCCGATAATTCTAACGCGAAATAAATAAATGTAGAAGTATTTAATTTCTTTTTCATAGAAACGAGACAATGAGAGAATTGACCCATTAATTCGCTGACGTAATCCCATCGAAAAAGGCACTATTTCCAAATCCTCAAAGAGTACTGAAATCCTGAAATTACACCGCGCGATAATTCGCGGGGTGCCACTTCCATTGAAATTCAAAACCCGTTAAAAGCGCGATTTCTCACCTATTACGTTTCTCACATTTCGCTACCAATTTCTTCAATGCCAGTATTTCCTTCTGCGCTGCCTTCACTTCAGCATCACGCTCCTCGTTAATTCAACAGTTCCCGTCATTATCTGACATTAATAGGAAGATTAAATGCTTCTGGCGTTAAAATTACCTCAATAACTCCAGCGAGAGTCTCTAGATCATTGCCACGGTTCTCGGCGAGTTGATTAATAGCAATTACTTCTTGCGCAAATCTCGTCAATTGTGCACAGTAGCTCTGCTCTCTTTCCACCATTCCTTCCCATGCTTTTTCCCTCACTGCCAGACCATCACGCAATTCCTCCATATCTCCCATCAAGTTGCTCAATTCGGCTCTGTATATCATTTTCATTTCCATAAATAACGTGAAATTTCATGGAAATATTTACGCGCAAAAATATTTTTTATTAATTTTATTATTAATTTATTTAATTGCGGGAGGAGTGTCTTTGGACGTAAGGGTAATAGCTGAATTTTTAATAATTCAAAATGTAATCAAGTTTCCTGGGTTTCTTTCTCAGTTGAGATAACCTTTGAATCTATTGTGAGGTCGGGTTTTTCATTATGGTATAGAGAAGTTGTAGAGACTCACTTGGTAACGAAAACAATGGGATTGACCGAGTCGCCTTTCTGAATTTTATTCGCGCAAAAATCGCACAGAGAAGGAAACTCCAAGGGTTTCTCCGATGATCTGAGATCGGAGTTTAGGAATTCATCTCTCTGCTCCTAGAAATTTCTAGTCTTCTAGTTTTCTATTTTAATAAGGCATGTGTCTGAAGATAAATAGTAGAAAGCAATTAAATAGTAATGAAACTCCCCTCACCTCAATATTTTTTGATGATTCAGTTTTTAACGAGAGTCTGTCTTCCATCGCAATCAAGCGCTCTTCTAGTTCTTTTGTCCTGGATTGTTCTTGGTGGATCCTATCAAAGACTTTCATTAACGAAATCAAATTAGTGGTGGATAGAATGGTAGGATGAGGTAATTACGCATGACAATCAGCTGTCAGGGGATATCCGCATGATATATCGAGATTTTAACTGAGGCAATTGGCGATTTTTGTAGGAAGAAGTATTTCGACAGGATTTGCGATTCCCTGATTCAATTATCAATTACTTGTATTAATTGAAAATTCTGGGAAAAAATCGCCCGCTGAAATACTCCCCCGGAGGGAGTTTCCCCTAGTGAATTATTTTGAAAAAAAATAATCATTTCTTCATATTATATCACCAATATTTTGCTATTATAAATACAACATGATTTTAACACAAGATTTTAACATCCCGAGTGAAAAAATCAAATTCTGAAATCACGGTTGAAGCATACATAGCAAAAATTCACGTATAAATTTTTTTTTTTTGCAGATTATCGGTCGAATTGCTGTACGAAAATATAACGTTTTTATGTTTTGTTATTATTTAATTGCTCATGCAGTTTTGTGGTAGTGCGATCATTTTCATGAATTTTCTAGACTTCGTGAGTCATTCAATAATTTTTTTAATTAGAAATTCATGAATACTTCTCTCATTACTTATTATTGCACCCACGAAAAATTCACCAAAATTCAAATTTCAAAATTTTATTCATATTTGTTTTTTCGGCGAATGCCTCATGTATTTATTATTAAATCATCCTATATTTCATATGTACCATTTTTTTCTAGAATATATGTGGGTATATAGAATTAATATATATTTGGCAAAAATGCCGTTTTCGGTGTGGAAAACTGATGAAAAATCCAGACACTAATGAAAAACTAACTTACTGGGTCTTCAAGTACACATTCTCATTGAAAAGAGCAGCGGTGCGCGCCCTCATAACTTTAATCTTGTCCTCCTGCAGAATCCTGATAAACTCCGGGTCTTGAGGAGCATTCGTGGGTAGCAGAGACGTCGTGGACGAGAACTTTTCACTTCCCCCTGAATTGTTTTTCATATAATTCTATTAAGAAAGTCTCGAAAAACATTTCGCCGAGAAATTGAAACGGATATCTTCCAACGATTCTGCGAAACTTTTCGAGTTACATGTAATAAAAGGGAGAGAGTTACAGTGAAGGCATTACCGACACCTGTCACCAACTTTCACACTTTTCTCCATTATTTCCCTATTTTTCAGCCTAATTGACATAATGTTTCTACTTCGTCGAAGTAATCACTAGGAAAATTAAACGTATGGATTAACCTGTTGAATAGCTGTCAATTCGAGGACTTGTTGTACTCGACGTTTTTACTAAGTGTCTTGACATTTTTTCAATATTCCAGTGACTTCATCGAATTGAAAAACCTGTTGTGATGGGGCTGCAGCAATCGTTTGATAAAATGGACTGAAAAAATCTGCCGAATGCCCCGGGGGTGTTTCGGGAATAATTCCACTTTATTGATTTGTCCTCCTGGTACACATGTTTTTGTTTTGAGATTAGGACCCTCTCGAAGTAGTTAACAGAGTTTTGGCTTTCGAACAAAAGCTTTGAATCTGCAACTGAATTCCGCTTTTCAATTTTCCGATTAAATTGCACGAGAAAATTGATAAAAAAAAAATTCAGTGCTATCTAAATTAAATTCTCTAAAATACTGATATTTTATCGAACATTTTATTTTTAGTTTTATATAATGGAAAGGATAATTTGTCATCAAGTGTAAAAAATTAATTAATTCATCCACATCGAGTAAGAATTCAGGTTTTTATTTTTCAATAAACAATCGGAATGTTCAATTTTATATGAGATATTTATCAAATCTTGATTTCTCAATGTTTTTCCGCTGAGAAATTAAAACCATCATTGAATTGCGAAAATTGTAATGCGGGATTTTATCGTGTTTTCTACGATGCTTTGCGATTTTCAATCATTTTTTAATAAAACCTGTAAACTATAAGAATTGTCAAGGTGATTTTTTTATTATTTAAATGATTATTTGTCTCAAAGGGTAAGAGAATCCTTTCGTCTTCATTTACTTTGATTTAGAATTCCGAGGAGGTATTAATAAAAAGATTAAAAGAAGACTTGGGAGATAGTTTCACTTGGTTTATTCACAATTTTATGAATACATGAAATTTTGAACGTCATAGATACACATTACGTTAAGGAATACATAAATATATTCTAAGTGAATTCCATCTCAATGATTTTTCTCCAGGAATTAAATTTACTCCATTCACAGGACATTTAGGATTCCTAAAATCCGGGCTTGTTATTTCCACAGTATAGATTAAATAAAAATCCTATTATTTCATATTAAAGTCGACTATCACCAGAATTCTATATAAATATCATATGAAGAATGATTGACAGGTCTTTTAAGTCAACGTTATTACAATATTTATATATGTACACAGATAAATACTTGAGCGCATCGTTTTCCGTGGATTTCATGAGAGTTACGACTACACAAGTAGTTTCGTAAGTCATGAAACAGATAAATACTGATAGAATTGCATAGCAATGATTCATGTCATATTCTTTCGTCTATGAGGAAGTGCCGCAATGGAACTCTGGAAATACTCCAAATAAGTTGAGGAATGGGAGCATGTGTGTCAGAATTCAAATTATTAGAAAAATTTATAGCAATTTTTTTTCCTCAATTACACTAGGTTCGTTTGGAATGGCCGCATCCTCACAGAATAATAAAATGCGAGGCTTTCATCTCCTTGTGGAAGCGGTTAAACGAAACGTCGATACTTTTAATTCTCCAATTACATCGTCGTTACGTTAATCTGAAAATTCTGTAATTAATCCGGCTTAAATCCTCTTTGTTTTGAAGCTATTTAAACTAGTGGAGGAATTGTAGAATATTTTTTTTTGTACAGAATAGCTCGAGGAAACGTTCGTCAAGAAAATTTCTTCATCGTTTCGGAGTCTGATTGCATCAATATATCTCTCCAGTATTGTATTATTAAAATTTTTGCCTAAATGAACAGAGAAAAAAGATTTCTTGATTTCAGAAGAAGTCACTTAATTCTTGGATCCATGAGATCTGACAAATAAATCGCATGGAAGAATACTTCGTTTCGTGAATTCTCTTCATTATTCACCTCACCCCTTCTTTGAATATTCATTAAAATTTATAAAAATTGTTTATTCTCTTCAGATCACTTTCCATACACTTCTTCCTGTTTTCTGCAAAAGATCTTCTACACAAGTTCAAATTCCTGGAATTAATTGATTTCTCCTGAGTAAGAAATGTTTATTATTCTCTGTATTGATTAATAATGACAATGGCTCTGATATTTACACGCGAATAAATTTGTTATATTCAATCTAACTCACTGTAAGTCGTTAAGCTGTCAGTTTTTCACAAAACAAGTGGTGGATTCTTCAGCTTTGATTCAAAAACTTCTGCTGTTCATCCACATCAAACCAGAGACACCATCACGTGTTTTCTTGATGTCGAGTGGATCATAGCAATGTGGTTGCTACGCCTCGATGACTGCGCTGTCAATGATGTTGTAATTGTTGTCCTCGTGCTGTGGTGATTATGACTGGTGCCAAAGCAGTGATGTGTACGTGAAGGGCACCATCCAGAAATCCAGGAAATCGCCTGCATGTTCCTACCCGATGACGCGGTCAGTGTGGAAATGAAAATGTTATTTTAAATAATTTTGTTACTGTTATTTTTAATTCTTCACTGAAATTTGCAATGAACTTGTTATTGTTAGTACCCATTGAATTAAAGAAAAACAAGATTGAATAACGATCAATCGTGTAAATACTTGATCGACGCGTTTTTCCCAGTGTAAAAAGAGGAATTATTCATATAATGGCAATCGAGACGCGTCCTGAGAATAATCGAAAGAAAAAACAGCAACTAGAAATCTAAATATCGTCTTTTCAATGCTAGCTCCAGACGTTTGTATTTTAAGAAAATATGAAAGTGATCGATTTTTCCCGGTGATCGCTCTAAATTTTATTCAAGAATAATATTACAAATTACGAAATATTACGATATATTTATATTACTTTTTTAAATACTACAAACAAAAGGGATATAAATTGTTTACTGGCAAAATATTATTGGCCGGAATTATTTTTAAATAATTTCCGAGTAATTCTCAGGAATTACTGAACAAGCTCATCCGTTTTTCGCTCAACTTGATAATGCTATTCTAGAAATTGGAGTCCTGAACGCATTTATCACCATGAAATTTCAATGAAACGCGGGGAAAGTAATAATGCGCAATCACTGCTGCCATGTCAGAGTTTCCAAGTGATTGAGGACCTTTCCCTTCATGAATTGAGAGTTCACTCGAAGCCTTGAACCGGCTACATTAAACGGAAAATGACAGAACAATTTATCAAATGCCCTGGCGTCATTTTCTACAAAGAATGTTCATACGATACAATCCGTTGATGATACTAGAAATAGAGGAATGAAATCAACAAAGGAAGAATGAAGAAAATGATGGAGATCAAAAGAAGAAACAAGAATGTTATAACATGCATACTTTACTCGACGTCTTATATTCTTCTGAAAAATGTGATTCTCCACGATGAAATATCCCCGTAATAAATCATTCAACCGTTTGTTTGCCTTTTTTCAGTCGATTTTTTTTCAGATATTGAAACCACATTCTGGGAAATTATGTCATTATGTTTTGTTTCATGTGGGAGGCATAAACGAAGTCCAAAGGAAACTTAATTGCATGCAGACAATTCGAAATTTAGTCAATGTGTGAGCTTCGTACCCGCACCACCACATCAATCACAACCATTTCCGGCTCATCAAAGAGATCCACGCAATTATCAGTCAGTGGAAGAGGGGGCACATCAAAAGCTCATTTTAGAATTTTCTGCTGTATTTGATGCGTGGCTACGGCAAGTCTAAACGAATATTTATGGATATCTTCATTTAACGGAACGGCAATTCATTTCGAGAGGCTACCCACTTCCTGATTGAGTGATTTTACATCAAACTCATGTGGCTTTGAATTATTGAAAAAATAATTTATTTCGCCCACTTTGAATAGCACCTCACATGATCCGGTGACTGCAAATGAACTTAACCATTTTTGATTAAATAAACCCTCAGCAACAATGAGAATAAAATTTATCGATATTTGGTAATTGCTTAGTCTATTTTCTCTCAAAGAATTTTCACTGTGAAATGATTCCAAAAATGCCGCGAGATCTATAATTTTTTAATAACTTTTTTGCGAAAGTTTTTGACCTTTTTGTCCATTATTATTGGTGAATTGTTGGTAAAATTTAAATAGTGATCACCGTGTGATGCAATGAGTTGAGGAGTGACTAGTTTCTCGATGATTCTATCATGAGGATCTTACCGTATAGTTTTGCAGAATGATGTGCTGAAGAAACAATAGATGATGGGATTTGCTGCTGAGTTGAGTGGAGTTAAACTCTGGATGAAGGTTGCTATGGCGATGTTGGCCTGGGTGCGCGGTATGTGGCCGTATACTTGGAGTAAATCGAAAATAATGTAGGGACTCCAGCAAAGTACGAACACTGCAAGAAAGGAGAGGTTGATGGCATTAGAATGACCGCAGTGTTGGTTTTGGCATTGATCGAGAGTTCAAACCGATAGCACAATAAAAAAACGAGACAAATCTCAGTACAATAATAATGACACGAGAATAATTTTCATTCCATGAATTATTTATTGATTTCGGAAGCTGTTGATTTAATGACAAAATATCCGACGACTTTTTTTGTCGAGGTTTTAATCGCCTACAAAAATGATCGGTAATAATTCTGCTTGAAATCAACAGCAGGGAAATTGATAATAGCGGTAAAATGTCCAGTACGAGAGTTCAGAGGCGTCATATTTATCTGATATTTTTACGGATCCTCATAATTCGAGAATATGATAAATAATGTGGGGCAATATTCGTGCAATTATTAAAATGCAACGAATTCTCGGTGCATCCATGTGCGATTTAAATTTCTAGCAATTGCACTAAAAATCTTTATAAATTTGAGGGCGAATAACAAGAAATCTTACTAAAACAGTAGTGGAATTTTTCTAGAGAGTTTTTCGTCGTGTAGTTATATTTCTCTACAGGGGTGGTTCGCGTTGATTCAATCTTATGGTACTACGATCCATTACGAAATTGATTACACTGCACGAAAAGCTTTTACCGAATTGTCTCCAGTCGGATGATCACATAATAGCAACGATCGCATCGGATATTTAAAGAATTCTCTTATCAAAAGGTTTAATCGCAAATTAACCCGTCTTTTTAGTCATTATTTCTCGCAATTTCTGTTTTGTTTTATTTCAATTTGACGTGGGAATGTGCATCGATTGATCAACTCGGCCGTACAGATTAAATAGAAATGTATCCACGTACATATTAAACACATACGTCCACTCGTTACCTTTGCATTGTCAATGAAAATAATGCGATATTTAACCACTGGGATGCGAATTAATGAATGACGACTGATGAATAAATAGCGCATTTGCTTATTATGCGGAATTCGAAACAATTGGAAATATAAATAAAGGAATATTTGTAAAACTCTGTTCAAACCGAATCAAGTGAAGTCTAAAATTGTTTAAACATAAAGATTGATAATTGGATGAAACAATATATTAGGCAATGCAGACATTGTGCTTGAGGAATATTGAAATATTTTTGGGATTTTCCATGAAATTAATGCACTCGCCCTAGATTACCCCAGAAACAGAAATCCAATATTCCCATATTTTTTTTGTTTCAAAAAAAAAAATTCTGAAAAGTTTGCCAGAAATTTTTTGAAAATTTGGAAAAAATATTCCGATTACAATTTTTTTTTACGCAGGGACGTCGTAATGTTTGACGAAAAATTCAGACAGGGATTACAGGAGGTTGCGCCCCGGAATTGCGGTAGAGATAAATAATTTGTATAATTGATTATTTTTCTCCGTGCATTTCGTGAGAGAATTGAACATGAGGACTCACCGAAAACGATGACAAACGTCATTTTAACAGTCTTGATTTTAGCTCTCGGTATGAGCCCTCTGGAAGATGCTCTCCTATCTCTCATGGGCCCTTGTCTCAGTACACTACTTTGAGACCATATTGTCGCCACAATGACAGTGTAGCATCCACCAATGATTATCGTTGGAACTACGAATAATGTGAAACTGACTAGGGTCATGTAAACACGCCACTTAAGCGGTGAACTCAGCTCAATCCAGCACTGCTTCTTACCCTGGAAAACGTAATAACGGAAATTCTCACTTATGTACCAAGTCGTTGTCAAAGTGTGTTGTACCTCTACCACCGTTTCCTCGTAGAGGAAGATAATTGGAATGCTAAAAGCCGCGGACAATCCCCAAGCAGCTGCCACCAGGGCTCTCGCTCTCCACCCTAAGACAGAATCAAAATCAATATTCTACGACATGTCAATGTCTTGAAGATGTTTGGAATAATACTCATTTTATAATATAGAAATCTCTATTTACGAGAGAAAATAATTACTGTTGGAGAATTACACTTGAAATTTCTGGTCAGAAAAGTGGAAATCTTTAGCAATGATAAAGAGTTTGAAGAGATGAATAGAATTTCTATAGAATTTTTTACATTTCCGACGAAATTTTTCAATTAAAAAATTTTTTTCTTTCGATGTAAATAAATCCTGTATTGTGCGATGTCATATATATTAGATGGGATGAGAGTTAAGGTGATGAGATATCATGGACATTATGTTGGAGTACTCACAGCTGCCAGAGAAATTCATTGGTCTTGTGATTGCATCATATCTGTCAATTGATAACGCTACAAGTACGTAGGTTGAGCTGTACGTGACTAGGACTTGACAGAATCTTATGAGCTTGCAGGCTATATTTCCGGCATACCAAGTGACTGTTGAACGCCACACGATATCTGTCAATACAGAGATCAACCCAACCAGCAGATCTAAGAAAGACAAAGTCCTCGATTTAATTTCCGTTTTGAAAGAAGGCATTTTTCCGATACGATTATCCATCATTCAGACACACTCTTTCTTTCAGAACTCACTGGATCGAAAGTCCAGGTTGTCATGGTGATTTAAGTCTAGCTTGAATAGAGAACGAATTATTTCTGTTGAATAATTCTAAAGGAACATGAAATGCATTTCATCTCAGAGAATTTATGCACATCTGGAATGACTCGAGTGAAAGGAGTCAAACAAAAATCTTTGTAACATCACGGAAATAAAATAAGTAATTCACCCAAATCGATTGACTATTTTTGCGTCGTTTATGAACGATTTGATATATCAATAATCCCCACAGACAAACAAATTACCAGCGAACGCCAACTGTTTGATGAAAAAGTCCATTCGTGATTTCCGGCGTTTTCCCAAAAGCAGACCTGCCAGTACTGCTGTATTACCTGCCACAATTACAGCGAATAGCAGCCACAGTACTGTAAACTGTTCCGTCTGTAACACCAAGTTCTCAAATTAATGACAGTGCATTCACTGTAATTTTTCTGTAATAATATATAATAACAATGAAAGATGGCTGTACAGATGCCCCGAAAAAAGTAATTACTTTTGCTGAGTAAATTTGCTTGGTACAAATTAATTACTCACGAGAATTACTTAACAGGAGAAGTTAAATGATTTTTCAAGCGATTTTTTATTTTCAGTGTAGAAAAAAAAATAGCAGTTTCATTGCTCCAGTAGTTTTTATCCGTGAGATTTTTTATCATAGCAATAACAATGATGAATTATTATAATGAATTTGTCTCACAGGGGCTATCATGATATTAATGTGTTATTTGTTTGTAGGGGTTAGTTTATTTACTGGAGTTAATAAATAAATTCAGGAGGTCACCGACGCTGTAAATTTTCAACAGCCCTCGCATTATTCAGACGATAATAGAATTCTATTTTCCCTTTAGAACCCTTGGAGTGAGAAGTCTAGCCCATTCCGTTTACCCTATATAGATATAAATCATGGAGTCTAGTTTATGATTATCCACAGGTAATTGTTATCCAGATGGTTCACTGGTTTTCTTATCTCTCATAACACACACCTGCTGATAGGAAACATAAAGAATGAGCATCGTAATGTTACAGGTGGAAAATGGCATGTCAGTATGATATTAATCCACAAAAGAGCGAACAATTTTTGATTGAGAACTTCTGCTGCCATTTTTGAATTTCGTATTTGAAAATTCAGAATTTTGTAGAAAAATTAATAATAAATACAGTAATTATCAATTTCATTAATCTGGAAAAATGAATAGAAAATAAGAAAATATGTTTTTAAATTTGCAGTCCTTTCGGGATTCAAAAGGCAATGGCAATTCAAATAAATTGAGTTATTCTCATTCACGCATTTTTACCGATCCCACACTTCTAATCGAGTTTGACGATTTTTTTCGATAATGAGTCATTGAAAATCTTTTCTCTAGTGTGCGGATCATACCGATTACAGCCATGATACCTGTCCATGATATTCCCTCCAATTATTGGCGCTTGATGTTGGCCTTTTTCCAACGAATCGACGCCTAAATTTGCAGTTCAATATTGCAATCCATATGTCACCCTGAATTTAACCAAAAATTTCTGAATTGCTGATCCACAAAAAAGGTTTTATGGTAATTTAAAAAATGAATTTTTCCTTTGCGGAGAAAAATGTGGAATTTTTCTCCGCACGGGAAAAAATTCACTTTATATCTTAATCTTTATTGAGCGATGTATATTGAGTAAGTAATAAGTAATATCAAGTTGCCATGTAACACGGCTACTCTAATGGAAATTTTCTATTAGATGAAAGGATTTTATCCAATTTATATTTAAACTCTACTGTTATGCCATCAATTGAATAATTTATTAAACCAGTTCTTCATACAAGGCTAACGATATAATTGTAATTTGCGATTTGGAATTAACCGAACCCCTGATGGAAAAAGTTGTACAAAATCAGTTGATCGAGTTACACCTGGGGTTAAATCATCGCCTGAATAAATAACATATGGATCTAATAAAGACTTTGAACTGGATATTACATGCTATCATGTTGCATCATAAATTTTGTTGCTAAAATCACGACGAAATGGGTTACAATGAAAACTCAATTAAGACAACTTCCGGGTTCGATGGCGGCCGGATAATAACTAGGTATGAGCAGAGGAGCGGAAAAAGTTTATGAAAAACCGTTCGATAATTTATTCTGAAATTGGCGAATCGTTCTTTATTCATTACGTATTCATTACGGTTCAATTAAATTCATTTTACGATGAATATTATTGAATTGGAGTGTAAGTCTCGCCGGATAGGGAATATTTTTGGATATTCCTGGAACACATACATTGGGAATCACATTAATATTTTTTTAATCACATTGATCACCGTAATCTATCAATTAATGCAATTACTCGTTGGTGAAAATGTCCTTTGACATTGAATGCGTAATTTCATTTATCATTTAATGAAATTATTTTTGCTAAAAATCTCATTTGACGCGCAATTTGTCATCAAGCTACTTAATAGTAATGTTAACTAATTCGTGCAATTCTCTTCATCCATCAATTAATTCAATGATGATATCGAGGCGCTGTGCTATAAAATAAATATTCAATATGTTCTTCACTTATGCCTTTTTATTCTTCAATGGAAATAAATACGTTTGAGTTCACTTAATAAAATGTAATGTATTTCAATAAAATACGATAATAAAATATTCCATAATATAATATATTGATATTCTCAGTTTCATGCAAAGCTGGTCAAATAATTTTTACTCCGAAGAGCGGTGACATTTTTAGTTACACCTACATGTTTTTGAAAGAGCAATTATTTCCTATGAGAATTAAATTGAACAAGTATCTCTAATTAATCAAAAAAAAGGATGAGAGCAACAAAAATGTTTCTAAGAAAAAATCGTTATCGATTTCGATATTTTCGCATCGATTTTAGGCTTCTCAAATATTGTACATTATGAAGTTCAAAATAAATTTCAACTTCGATGGTGAATTTTTTTTATGCGTTATTATTGTATAAAATTCATTGCTTACGGAGAAACGGTGGAGAGTCCGAAGGGTTTAGCCTGAGGTGAATAAAAAAGAGAATTGAGGGTGAAAAGTGCTAGAAAAAAGGTTTCCTCGTAATTTAAATCTCTCGCGTGCCTTTGACACACTCATTTAAAAAATACCATCTGGTTCGTACGACGTGTTCCAGTAAAGGGCTGAAGGAAACCGTCACCGAGATTTAACCCAGCATTAATTTTGTATCGTCCGTTCCTAGATTAACACTGTAACAAAAGAAATTAATGAAGAATTGTACCAGCTGCACGTCAAACTAACATTTTCACCAGAGATTCACTTTTCGATGAGACAGTTAATGTTTTTAATGTCCAAAAATTTTGCGAACACTGTGCAAATACTCTCATAAATCTTATTAATGTCAAATATATTTCCTTGTGGTTAGTAAATATTCCTGGATAAAGAAAATTTTTTTCTCGATGCAAAGATATATTTGTTTTTCATTCCAATGATTTGGTGTTGCTTTACTGTGGCTATGTCCACCTTTTCAAACTTTGTTTTTTGTTCTATTTTTCTTGTTTATGAAAGTCGCGTGATTTTTGAACTTGGAAAACAATAAAAACTGAAATCTTTTCTGGTGAATGAATGAAGCGGCTGTCAGGCACGTATAGAAGATCCTTTTATACATTACAGAAGGTGCAGAGAGCAGAAGCCGGATAAAGCACCAAGTTATTACGCAGATCTGGTCATAACTTTTTATATCTACAGACTTAATGTATTTCTTTGATGTTTTTATGAGTTAATTATCTACATAGTTCGAATGCTTTCAGAGAAAGTCAAGTCGAGCAAATCTAACATTTTTGCAAAGTAATATATTTACATTATAATATTTTAAGGGGTAAATTGAATGAAACATAAAGCGGTCCCCTCTACAGATGGTTAATTCTATGATTCGCGGGAGAATGGAGAATATCTCATGCATTGAATCGACCACTTTATTGCATCCGGTTATTGTTAGCTATAGTCTCCTCTAATAAAACCTGAGTTTCACTTTTTCAGAACAGCAATAAACTCAATTTTCCGTCTGTGATACATGTGTGCTCCCACGGGAAGCCGAATCCCCTAATTCAGTCCCACTCGCGAGGATATATTCAAGCATATGAAATTTTTTCGATCTATTCAGAAGTAATTACCCGAGGGCCTCAAAATAATTCGGTATTTCCCTCAAATTTCGCTGGTTAAAATCACAATCACACATTTTCAATGTTTATTATTACTATTATCTTGAAATATTATATAAACAATATAAATATAAATATAATATTATTTTGTAATTCGACGTAAAACCGACACGAGATATTTAAAAAAACGATTAGACAACTTTGAACTAAAAAAAATTGAAAATTAAAATTTTAAGAAATTTCGATCAGAGTTCTCATTTCATGATCTGAAAAGGACATTCAACAGTAGTAATTGCTACAGCACCAATTTGAATAAAAAGATATCCACATTACCCTATAATTAATCATTTCTGCAGATGAAGGGTTATTCAAGAAAATTCAGATCACGCCACTAGCGCAGTAAAACTATGGTGTCTTGATCTCGTTATGAGAAGATTACCAAGATTACAGGTCGTTACCAGTATATTCCGAGGTAACAAGATAACCAGGATTCACTTGGTTCGGAGTGAAGATTAAACCGAGATCGGTGTCGTCGTGAATATATCCCAGCTGCAGCCCCCGAGATTGTAAAAACTGAAATGCGAAGGTGAAACAGAAAATCTAGTTAGAAAATCTAGATTTTTGTTGACAGTAACTTTCTTGAGTCTCGGGCTATTGCTCTTCTCTTTCTATAATCGCTCTTTATTCTCGGCAAATCCTCCGCTAAAAGCTTCGCACGAGAATAGGTTTATATACACTTGATGGGTGTTAAACGAACCGTGGCGGAATCATTTATGCTAATGCACAGAGAACTGCCATCACTCTGGCTCATGTTTGAAACTGCTGAGTGAAAGAGGGACAGTCATTGTTCCGCCCCCACGGAGAAAAGACATTTCTTATTGCTACAAAGGAAAATCCTTTAATTCCGCGGACTTCCAATTCAGCCGACTCTGAGAAAAAAAATACATCTGATAAATCAATTTACTTGGCACAAATAATAGTAATAATAATAGTAGAGTACATTACGATGTGCAAGAGAAAAGACGTAATTTTTTACCCGGTGTAACACCCGTCAGGAAGTAATTCTTTTTTACGTATCGTATAAACTTCTACGATGCCTGTGAAAACTCATCCCCTATTTTTATATGTATGAAATTTGTACACAAGCATTCGTACATGGAGGGAAATATCCAGTAAAATTACGGAATCCTCTGGGAAATTCTGTAATAAAAAGAGAGTAATGGAGAAGGAACAGAATTTCTATTAAATATTTCTATAAGAATTTATT